CTATAAACATTGAAAGAAATTAAAGAAGTCTCAAATAAATGGAAAGATACATTGTGTTCACATACTGGAAGACTCAACATTGTGTAAAGAGGTTAGTCCTCTCTCAAATTGATACATTGGTTCAGTGCAAATACAATTAAAATATGACCATATTTTTGTGTGGGGAACTGACAGCTGATTCTAAAATTTATACAAAAATGTGAAGGGCCAGGGATGGCCATGACACTCTTTGCAAAAGAAAAATATTAGGATAACTTGATACTAAACCTTAAGACTTTTTTAATGCAGTGCACAAGTAACCATAAGTAGAACCATGAAACAGAATATAGAGTACAGAAACAGAATAATGCATATACAGATACTTGACTTCTCTAGAAGATAACACAGGATAATATTTTCATTACCTTACCAAGAGAATATGTCTAAAACAAGATGTACAATGTATAAGTCACAAAGGAAAAGATTGTATACTGGGCCATATTAAGAATGTTTATTCATTAAAAGGCACTATTAAGATAATCTGATAAAGACAGCTAGAAAAATACCTATAGCAATTTTATATTTAATAATGAATTGTTAAACATTTTTCAACACTACCTGTTCAACTTCTATTCACTATCTTGCACTTCTATTCAACTCGAAGTCCTAGCTGGTACAGTAAGGCAAGAAAAAGAAATAAAGCCCTAAGTATTAGAAAGAAAGCTATCATTATTTTCAGGTAACATGACTGTGCACATAGAAAATCCAAAATAATCTGTGGATCAACTATTTGAACTAATAAGTGAATTTAGCAAGATCTCTGGATACAAAATCAATTACATTTCTATATAAGAACAAAAAACAGAAAATGAAAGCTTAAAAGATACCATTTACAATAATTTCAAAACACACAAAAAGAAATGTAGTATCTTTGTACTGAAAACTATAACATTACTGAGAGAAATTTTTAAAGACCCAAATAAATGGAGGGATATTCCATGTTCATGGATTGGAAGATTCAATACTGTAAAGATATCGGTTATCTCCAAATTGATCTACAGTTGCAATATTGTATCCCACCCATCTGGGAAGCGAGGAGCGCCTCTGCCCAGCTGCCGCCCAACCACCCCAGGAGCGCCTCTGCCCAGCTGCCCATGGTCTGGCAAGTGAGGAGGCCTCTGCCCGGCCATCACCCTGTCAGGGATGTGAGGAGCGCCTCTGCCCGGCCGCTGTGCAACCTTCCAAGTGTGAAGTGACAGCCTTGTGTGTGTCTTTTCTGCCTTCCCCAAGTTTGCATTTTCGACATTAAAGTTTACTTATTAATTAAAAGTTAAAAATAAATAAATAAAAATAAAAATAAAAATAAAAAATGGGCAAAGGACCTGAACAGTCATTTCTCCAAAAATAGAGGCCAGGTGGGGTGGCTCACACTTGTAATCCCAGCACTTTGGGAGGCTGAGGCAGGAGGATCACTTGAGCCCAGAAGTTTGAGAAAAGCCTTGGCAACATAACAAGACCCTGTCTCTACAAAAAAAAAGTTTTTAAAATATTGACTGAGTGTGGTGCCACACACCTGTAGTCCCAGCTACTTGAGAGGCTGAGGCAGGAGGATCACGTGTGCCCAGGAGTTTGAGGCTTCAGTGAACTATGATCATGCCACTGCACCCAGCCTGGGCAACAGAGTGAGATCCTGTCCCTAAAAAAACAAAATAAAATAAAATTTTAAAGTCCAACAGGCATATAAAAAGGTGCTCAGCATCACTGATCGTAAGGGAAATACAAATTAAAACCACTGTATAAAACCTCACACTCATAAGGATGGCTATTATCAAAAAGACAAGAGATAACAAATATTGGCAAGGGTGTAGAAGAAAGGGAACCCTAGTACATTGTTGGTGGGAATATAAATTGGTACAGCCATTATGAAAAACAGTATAAGAGTTCCTAAAGAAATCAAAAATACGGATGACCCTTGAACAACATGGAGCGGGGTAGAGGTGCCAACCCCCCACATAGTCAAAAATCCACACATAACTTTTGACTACTCAAAAATGTAACTACTAATAATCTATTTTTGACTGGAAGCCTTACCAATAACATACAGTTTATTAGCACATATTTTGCATCTCATATGTATTATATATTGTATTCTTACAATAAAGCAAACTAGAAATAAGAAAATGTTATTAAAGGCCAGGCATGGTGGCTCAAGCCTGTAATCCCAGCACTTTGGGAGGCCAAGGTGGGCAGATCTCCTAAGGTCAGGAGTTCAAGACCAGCCTGGCCAAACCCCATCTCTACTAAAAATGCAATGGGCATGGTGGCGGGTGCCTGTAATCCCAGCTACTCGGGAGGCTGAGGCTGGAGAATGGCTTGAACCTAGGAGGCGGAGGTTGCAGTTAGCCAAGATTGTACCATTGCACTCCAGCTTGAGTGACAGGAGCAAAACTCTGTCTCAAAAAAAAATAAAATAAAACGCTATTAAAAGTCATAAGGAAGAGCAAATATATGTACTATTCATTAAGTGGTAGTAGATCATCATAAAGGTCTTCATTCTCACTGCCTTCACATTGAGTAGTCTGAGGGGGAGGAAGAAGAGGGGTTTGTCTTGCTATCTCAGGGGTGGAGAGGTAGAAGACAATTTGCATATAAGGACCCGTGCAGTTCAAATCCATGTTGTTCAGGGTCAATTGTACAACATATGACCCAGCAATCCCTCTCCTAGGTATACACTCAAATGAGATGAAATCACCACCTCATGAAAATAGCTGCATTCTTACGTTCATTGTAGCATTATTCATAATAGCCAAGAAACAGAAACAACCTAAATACCTACTGGCAGATGAATGGATAAAGAAAATGTGATATATACACACAATGGAGTATTATTCAATCTTAGAAAAGGAGATCCTGACGTCTGCCACAACGTGGATGGACCTGGAAGACATTATGCTAAGTGAAACAGCCAGACACAGAAAGAAAAATATTCTATGAGGCAAGGCGCTGTGGCTCATGCCTGTAATCCCAGCACTTGGGGAGATCAACGCAGGCAGATCACCTGAAGTCAAGAGTTCAAGACCAGCCTGGCCAACATGGTGAAACCTGGTCTCTACTAAAAATACAAAAATTAGCCAGACATGGTGGTGCATGCCTGTAGTCCCAGCTACTCAGGAGGCTGAGGTAGGAGAATCACTTGAACCCGGGAGCAGAGGTTGCAGTGAGCCAAGGTCACACCACTGCACTTCAAACTAAGTGGCAGAGTGAGACTTTGTCTCAAAAAAAAAAAAGAAAAAAAATATTGCATGATCTCATTTTTATGTGGAATTTTTTAAAGAAAATCTCAAATACACAGAGAAAGACAATGAAACAGTGGTTACCACCAGAGGGGAAGGAAAGACAAAGACAAGATGTAGCTCAAAAGATACCAAACAGTAGATATGTAGTATGAACAAGTCTAGAGCTCTAATGTATAAACATAAGAAATAAAGTTAATAAGATTGTATTCTATTAGAGATTTTTGTTAAACAAGTAGATTTTAACTGCTCTTGTCACACAAAAAAGTAACTGTGTGACATGATAGATATGTTAATCTGCCTCACTATGCTAACTATTTTACTATTTACATGTATCCCATAACATCATGTTGTAAACCTCAAATATATACAATGAATTTTATTTTTAAAACAAGAACAAAAACAAAACGTGATAAATGGATTCTAAAATTTATAGAAATGCAAAAGGCCATGAAAAACCCAGGCAATCTTAAAACAGAAAAAAGATAACCACAGACGTTAGGACTACCATAAAGCTATAAGTAAGCTTAGTAAGGCACAAGTAAACGTAATAAGTACTATTTTACAAACATTTAGAAAGAAAACTACAGCTAAAAAATAAAGCTACAGCAAGAAACAATGTATATTACATAATTCAAGGAAAAACTTTACCTTGGATTCAGCATCAGGAAAAAGTGAATCCCTTCAACTAGGTGGACTGATTGACAGTCTACTTTGCTACCCCTTCCAGCAAACTTTGTTTGGTGCTTAAGTGTAACAGGGAGTTCACATACGCTTTTTTTTTTTTTTTTTTTTTTTGGAGATGGAGTCTCGCTCCGTTGCACAGGCTGGGGTGCAGTGGTGCAATCTCGGCTCACTGCAACCTCCGCCTCCTGGGTTCACGCGATTCTCCTGCCTGAGCCTCCCAAGTAGCTGGGATTACAGGCACCCACCACCACACCTGGCTTATTTTTGCCTTTTTAGTAGAGACGAGGTTTGACCATTTTGGTTGTCCAGGCTGGTCTCGAACTCCTCAGCTCAAGTGATCTGCCCGCCTCAGCCTCCCAAACTGCTGGGATTACAGGCGTGAGCCACCATGCCCAGCCACATATGCTTTTAAACACATATCTTGGCTCTCTTTGCCATGCTTTTGACTTATTAGGTATTAAATAAGCTATTTCAAATTATTTTTAATATTAAATAAATGATGAAACTATGTCTTCAATGCTTTAAAACTACTCTCTCTCATTACTTGCCACAAGGAAACAAGAGAAACATGTAATTCCTAGGTCAGGCATGGTGGCTCACGCCTATAATCCCAAGACTTTGGGAGGCTGAAGCGGGCGGATCACTTGAGGTCAGGAGTTTGAGACAAGTCTGGCCAACATAGTGAAACCCATCTCTACAAAAAATTTAAAAATTAGCAGGGCGTGGTGGTGAGTGCCTATAATCCCAGCTACCCAGGAGGCTACGGCATGAGAATCTCTCGAACCTGGGAGGTGGAGGTTGCAGTGAGCCAAGATCGCACCATTGCACTCCAGCCTGGGTGACAGAGCGAGACTCAGTCTCAAAAGAAAAAAAAAGAGAGAGAGAGAGAGAGAGAAACATGTAAGAGAGAGAGAGAGAGAGAGAGAGAGAGAGAGAGAGAGAGAGAGAGAGAGAGAGAGAGAAACATGTAATTCCAAAGCCAAAGCAAGATCTTGGAGTTCAAAATTATTTTGATGACTCTTGACAAATTCTAATGTTTACCTGATCAAGCCCTTCCCCAGCCTTCCTGAGATTCTGTAACTGGTAAACTTCTAGGATTCTTCCATTATCTTGACAGCACAAATCAATTATAACACAGCCCTGGTCCTCAAAGGCATTGATTTGATGAAATGCAACAAAAGGTTTGCTGTAGTATCTCCCTGGAAGAAGCTGCAGGGGAAAACACAAACAATGAAAAAAATTTTTTTTTAATTTTCTTCTTTTTCCCTTTCCTTTAGGAAACAGGTCCAAAAAGTTCAAAATAAGAAAATTAGGAGGATTTCCCCCTCTGAAATGGCAGGTCCAGTATATATAAAAGTAGAATACAGAATGTAGAAACAAATATGCTTTGATTTAAACATTGTTTGCTTAAGCAATGAACTGGGGCTATTTGATATAGACTGATCAATTGTTACAACGAACTTAAAAACCCTCATGAAATATAGCCCAATGTTTTGAATTATATGTAAATCTTGGACTCTAACCGCATGGTTAAATAGAAAATATTGCTACTCAGTATACTGATGATAAATTAAGAGACTAATTTTTTTAAAGTGCAGTCATTACTAAATTTTTTTTCGTAATGAGATCCAGATAGAGTAAATTTAAGATACTATCTCTTTAGAGAGGTAAAAAGTAGGCAAATATAATAGTGTTATGAATCAGGAGTATAAAAAGATATTCAACCAACATGGTTGGACTTTAGTAGGATTGTCACATTCACATATTAAGAAGCCAGAGTATTGGGCCGGGCATGGTGGCTCACACCTGTAATCCCAGCACTTTGGGAGGTGGGCAGATCACGAGGTCAAGAGATCGAGACCATCCTGGTCAACACGGTGAAACCCTGTCTCTACTAAAAATACAAAAAAATTAGCTGGGTGTGGTGGCACACGCCTGTAGTCCCAGCTACTGAGGAGGCTGAGGCAGGAGACTCACTTGAACCCGGGAGGTGGAAGTTGCAGTGAGCTGAAATCTCATCACTGCACTCCAGCCTAGTGATAGAGCAAGACTCCATTAAAAAAAAAAAAAAAAAAAAAAATCTCAAAAAAAAAAAGAAAAAAGAAGCCAGAGAATCAACTAATTAGAGTATTACTGCAAAAATTACAGAAGATTTCTGCACGAACAACACCTTCTTTAGCAACTATTATGATATGGAAAAAATCCATGCTAAGAGAGTTTCTTGGATGCCATTTTAATTGAATCAGATCATTAAAAGGATAAAATTATTTCCTATAATTCTCTAATACACAAAATCCATCATACTAATTAATAAGTAGCTAGCTCAACCTATAGAAGAAGGTAATGTCCTTGATTAAAAGTGTCCTATGCAACTAATATCCAGGGAAGGTTAAAAAATCAACTATATGGAAATTTACCTTTGTTTCCAACAATTTTCATGATAAATATATTCAAAATACTCAACCTGTCCAGTGTGTTTATCCACCACATGAAACCGCGTATTACACTGGGGTTCCCAGCTTATCCCATCTGAAAAGGCCTTTCCTCGAATTTTAGAAGTGGCAATTTTCCACAGGTTCATCTTTAGAGGTTGTTCAATGAAAATAATATAGTTCCTTGTCATTCCTAAAAGGTTCCAGCAAACAATAAAAACATTATTTGGCAAACTAGAGTTGTCTGAAATGTGACAGTTATGGGGACTTGTCTGAATGCCTGGACATGTTACTGATGCCCTAAACAAATGCCAGCCAGAAATACATGTTTACTGTCTCCCAGCTTTACTTTACATATTTCCTGTTCCTATATAAAAAAGGGAACTGCTTAGAATAGCTTGGGTTGCATGTTCTCAGCTTACTTTTTATCTTTTTTTCCTTTTCTTTTTAAATTGTTTGGTTTAGGAACAAAGTAAAAAGTATAGTATTAAAGTGTGCTTTATGATCTGTACATGTGTCCCTTAATCCTTTTCCTGCTTATACTAGGGGTAAGAATCTAGGAGCAGTTTGGCTATATGATTTAAAATACAGAAAACAAATATTCTGAGTAAAAGCTGAACCAATCTATACAGAATATGAATTTCCCCTCAAAATATAGTCAAGATGAGCTTTTCATGTCTGATTGCTATTGGTTGCCTAAAATTTTAAATTCTATCAACTAATTTTTTAGTAATTGCTTATACTAAAGCAACTGCAGTATATCTTTTCAAGCAGTCAGCTGGCTAGGGTCAGGAGTATGTGACTAAACAGAATAACCTTAACTGGCATCAAAATGCAACCTTGGTCTCATTATCACCATAGCGTGACAAACTATTAACATTAACATTTGCCAAACTAGTCCTTCTGCTACAGCAACATCAAGGCAGGACCCACTGAAATTTGCCTTATCCATGGACTCACCAAAGCTATGGTAGTAAGAAGGTTTCCCCTTCTCTGTAGGAGCAATAGAACATATCACCTGGGCTCCATGGATGGTCTCCTCAAGGTCCACCTTCTCTGGAGGAACCCGAATAACCTTATAGGAGAAACCTGAAAAATGAAAAGTCCTCTCTTACTTGTTTTACATACATTCTAGATTAAAAGACAACCCTTGCACTTGTGGACTTGCCAAAAGCAATTAAGAGATTTATGCAATATGCATGACACTCTTATTTCCTGAAGGGTTATTTCAAACAAAGATTTGGATCTTAAAAATATGTTATCTCTATGAAAATAATTAGCTAAGGTTTTGAAACAGCACATCCAAAGTGATCAACCAATGATTCATTCTACTATAATGCTAACTTCACCTCTAATTCATAGGAAACATTAAGGTAGCAGCCAGGCACTGTTCACAATAGCAAAGACTTGGAACCAACCCAAATGCCCATCAATGATAGACTGGACAAACAAAATCTGCCACATATATGCCATGGAATACTATGCAGTCATAAAAAAGGATGAGTTCATGTCCTTTGCAGGGACATGGACGAAGCTGGAAACCATCATTCTCAGCAAACTAACACAAGAACAGAAAACCAAACCGCATGTTCTCACTCATAAGTGGGAGTTGAACAATGAGAACACATCGACACAGGGAGGGGAACATCACACACCAGGGCCTTTCAGGGGGTGGGGGGAGCTAGGGGAGAGATAGCATTATGAGAAATACCTAATATAGATGCCGGGTTGATGGGTGCAGCAAACCACCATGGCATGTGTATACCTATGTAACAAACCTGCACATTCTGCACATGTACCCCAGAACTTAAAGTATAATAATAAAAAACAAGAGCTATTATATAACAAGGTAGTGATTATAATGGACCTGTCTCATATGTATGGTGAATAGACAGGTCATAGAGTTGAAGTTCTTAAACTCAAAAAAAAAAAAAAATAGCCAGAAATATCCTCAAATTCTGTTCCTTCCCTTTCCTCCCCTATTCTAACTACAGCCTCCATTTGCACTCATGTCCAGCTCCTTCCCTCAACCCTCTGGACCCCTAGGGTCACTCTGGGTTCCATCCCATCCTGTCTCATCAACATTCTTTCATGCAATCATTCATCTGTCTATTGCTTACTGGCTCTTCAAGAATCAACTCAGATATCCACTCCTCAAGTAGTCTTCCCTGACTCTTCCCCACCCCAAAGGCATTTGGTGCCCCTATTGTATGCCCTCATTACATCCTCATAGTCATAGTACGTATCTCATTGTATACAATTTTCTGCTTATTTATCTGCTTTCCAGTACAGTTCTTTATTTATTTATTCTGCAACTACTACTTTTTGAGCACCTACTATATTCCAGACACCATTCTGAGTGTTCTTAGTACTATATTCCAGGGACTTGTATACAGAAATATGCAAAATAGACAAAAATCCCCCCCTCCCTCCACCTTCTTCTTCTTCATTTTATTTTTAGAGACAGGGCCTTGCACTGTCACCCAGGCAGGAGTACAGTGGTGTGATCATAGCTCATTGCAGCCTCGAACTCCTTGTCTCAAGCAATCCTCCCACCTCAGCTTCCCAAAGTGCTGTGATTGCAGGTGTGAGCCACTGTGCTCAGACGAAATCTCTTATTTTGTCTTATTGTGTTTCTTTTAAATCATATAATAAGTAAAAATACAATGCATCAGATGACAATGAGAACTATAATAGAAAATAAGCCAAGGAATAAGGATCAGGAGTGATCATACAAGGAGTAGGAGCTACTGTTTGCACCTTTAAATATGCTGGTCTAGAAAGTTTCACTAAGTGGGTGACATTTGAGTAAAGACCTAAAGGAGGTGAGGAAGAACGCTTGACGATATCTGGGAGAAATGCATTCCAGGTAGAGGAAAGAGCACATGCAAAAGTTCTCAGCCAGGAGCACCACTGGAGTGTCTAAGTATCAGCAAGGAGGCCAGTGTGGCCCTATCATGATAAGCAAGGAGGAGTGTCTAGGAGGTAAGTTCAGAGAGGCGGGTGTGGGTTAAAAGGATAACTCTGGTAACTCTGGTGTTACCGTGCTGAAAAGAAACCGAAGTGGGGCAAGGGCAGAATCAGGGCAACTAGTTGAGGGGCTATTGCAGTCATTCAAGTGAGAAGGGATAGTGACTCAAAGTAGAGTAGTGGCCATGGAGGTGGTGTGAAGTGGTTGTATTTTTGATATATTTTGAAGGCATTGCTGAAATTACTTTTTTTGGTTGGTTGGTTGGTTGGTTGGTTTTTTTTTTGAGACAGGGTCTCACTCTGTCACTCAGGCTAGAGTGCAGTGATGCAATCACGACTCACTGTAGCCTCAACCTTCTGGGCTCAAGCGATCCTCCCACCTCATCCTCCCGAGTAGCTGGGACCACAGGCACATGCCACTACATCCAGTTAATTTTTGTATTTTTTGTAGAGATGACATCTTGCTATATTGTCCAGGCTGGTCTCAAACTCCAGAGCTCAAGCAATACACCCACCTCGGCCTCCCAAAGTGCTGGAATTACAGACATAAGCCACTGCACCTGACCCTGAAATTACTTTTGGATCAACTGATATAAGAGATAAATGTAAAGGATGATTCCACAGTTATTGTCCTTAGCAACTGGAAAGATGGAGTTAGTATCTCCTGAGATGGGGAAGACTCATCTTAAGAAGAGAAAGAAATAAGCCAGGCACAGTGGTGCATGCCTATAGTCCAGCTGCTTGGGAGCATCTCTTGAGCCCAGGAGTTCAAGTCCAGCCTGAGCAACATAGCAAGACTCCATCTCTAATCGAAGAAAGAAGAAGAAGAAGGAAGAAGAAAGAGGAATGAGGGAGGGAAGGGAAGGGAAGGGAAGGAAGGAAGGGAACGGAAGGAAGGAAGGGAAGGAAAGGAAGGGAGGGAAGGAAAGGAAGGGAGGGAAGGAAGGGAAGGAAGGAGAACAAGGAAGAGAGAGAAGAAGGAGGAGGAGGAGAAGAGGAGGTGGTGGTAGTTTAGGGGAAAACATCAGGAGTCTGGTTTTTGACAAGTTAATTTTGCAATGCCTATTAGACATCCTAGGAAGAATGCTGAGTAAGTAATTGGATATAAAATACTGGGGAGGTCTAGGTTGGGGATATAGATATGTTTTGAGAACCCACTATATACAAAACATCATGCTTTGTACAGTGATGAAAGAAATATTAGACAAGCTCTATAGTCCAAGAATACTCTATTATTGTCTCTAACATTAGTCTGAACAATATATTTTAAGTATTAAAAACTAACTGGATTGATTAATGTTTACAGGATTTTCATAAATTTTAAAAGCCTTTTAAAAATATCTAGAAAAGCGGCCGGGCGCGGTGGCTCAAGCCTGTAATCCCAGCACTTTGGGAGGCCGAGGTGGGCGGATCACGAGGTCAGGAGATCGAGACCATCCTGGCTACACAGTGAAACCCCGTCTCTACTAAAAATACAAAAAACTAGCCAGGCAAGGTGGCGGGCGCCTGTAGTCCCAGCTACTCGGGAGGCTGAGGCAGGAGAATGGCGTAAACCCAGGAGGCGGAGCTTGCAGTGAGCCGAGATCATGCCACTGCACTCCAGCCTGGGTGACAGAGCAAGACTCCGTCTCAAAAAAATAAAATAAAATAAAATAAAAATATCTAGAAAAGCTAAAACAAAAGCTTTTTACTTCCTAAAGGTAGCAATTACTAGCAAGCATTTTACTGTAATACAATGAGAATAACTAAATTTCCCCCAAATGTCTATCAAGTAGTCGAGCTCCCTGCAGTTGCATGCACATTGAGTTCCAGTTCAAAAACTTCTCACTGAACCAAATAATCAAGTGAAGAAAAAAAAAAAAAAGGTAGGTTCAGTGTTCGTTGAGATTAGGAGAAGATAAAGAGATGAATTTCCTGTCTCAGCAATTGGATTACTCAATTCACGGAATTTAAACACATTAATTAATGAACTGTTCTAACTGCAAGTCTCAAAGGCATTAGGTAAGACAAACAGACACCCAGGAAACACCCAGCAGAAGAATGTCCAGAAAGACCAGACCTGCCCAATACTGTCAGCTGAACTCGGGGAGACTCTCCAGGAGTTTGTATAAGCAGCAAACTGAGGCAAAGTAACAAGCACAGGCTCTCATGATTGGTGGCTGGGTTAATCACTGAGGTCCAGGGGCCACTTGCACCAAGATCACCCCAGAGACCATGTTAAAATGCAAATTCTTAGCCCCTTTTCAGTTCTACTAAACCAGAATCCCTGAAGATGAATGAAATCCAGATGATTCAATCTACATTCCAGATTATTGTTAGGCACATTAAAGGTTGAAAATCACAGATCTAGTTACTATTATTTTAGAATATGTAATTTAGGCCAGGCGCAGTGGCTCGCACCTGAAATCCCAGCATTTTGGAAGGCTGAGGTGGGCAGATTAAGAGTTCAAGACCAGCCTGGTCAATATGGCTGAAACCCTGTCTCTACTAAAAATGCAAAAATTAGCCAGGCATGGTGGCAGGCACCTGTAATCCTAGCTACTCAGGAGACTGAGGCAGGAGAATCACTTGAATCTGGGAGATGGAGGTTGCAGTGAGCCAAGCTCGTGCCACTGCATTCCAGTCTGGGCAACAGAGCAAGCCTTCATCTAAAAAAAAAAAAAAAAAATGTAATTGGCCAGGCATGGTGGCTCATGCCTGTAATCCCAGCATTTTGGGAGGCCTAGGCGGGCAGATCACAAGGTCAGGAGATCGAGACCATCCCAGCCAAAGTGATGAAACCTCGTCTCTACTAAAAACACAAAAATTAGCCAGGCATGGTGGAGGACACCTGTAGTCCCAGCTACTTGGGAGGCTGAGGCAGGAGAATCACTTGAACCTGGGAGGCAGAGGTTGCAGTGAGCCGAGATTGCACCACTACACTCCAGCCTGGCAACAGAGCAAGACTCCATCTCAAAAAAAAAAATGTAATTTAGAATGGCGAAATAGTATTTGTCATATTATGAATGAGTTACAAAGTTATCTACTTGGTTAACAGAGTTAATTTATTATGAAATTGATATTTTTAATGATCAAGATAAGATAGATGGACCGAAAACTGCTGGGTTCGTGGATCCATTTTGCTAAAACATTTTACTTAGAAGGATGTTTGCTGTTTCCTATAACAGTGTTGAAGAATCCTCCTTATCTGAGATCAAGTAATAAAGAAGAGAGAGAGTTGGGTGTAGAGGTGTCTAGAGCACCCTCTCTCTACTCGTGCCAGTAAAAAACAAACCTGTAGTATTCATCTTTATATACACTCAGAGATGTAAATATGGAAAGATAGAGAGGAGCAAGCCACAAAGCCAATTATGCACCAAAGTTATACCATTAACCTATACAAAGATTTCATAGGTTGTAGATGATGGATTAATTGATAGCTGAGAGATAGATAGTCAAACATATCTAATGCAAGAGTCCCCCTGTATCCAGGGGATACATTCCAAGCCCCCTGATGGATGCCTAAAATCATGGATAGTACAAACCCTACACACACTGTTTTTTTCTTTGCATATATACTTATGATAAAGTTTAATTTCTAAATTAGGCACAGTAAGAGATTAATAACAATAACTAATAATAAAAAAACAATTATAACAATATACTGTAATAAAAATTATGTGAATGTAGTCTTTATCTCACAAAATATCGTAAAATACTCAGACTGGATAACTGAAACTGTGAAAGCGAAACCACAGATAAGGGGGGGTCTACTATACTTACTTACACATTCCTCTTCAAACAGGGAAAGACATATGTATTCATGTATAGAAACCTGAATTCACATGCCCTTAGAAGAGTGGGTAGATAGGTGAAAAGGCCTTAACAAATAGAGAAGGACATGGTGAACAGGTGAAGATTGAGTATTTAAAAAATACCAATAGAGTCTTCTGCATTCCATGATGAATAACTAATGAGATGGTCTAACAGAGTAACTAGCAAGCAAGGCTTCGAGTGTGAGTCAAAAGCTTACTAGAGCAAGTCATTTAGCTCTCCTCAAGGTTCACTGCCTTTGTCTGTAAAACCAAGGTAATATCAGCACCTTTCTCGGAGAGTTGGCATAAGGATTAAATGACAAACTATGGGGAAAAATACTTAACACATAGTAGATACTCAATAAATGTTAGCTATCATTATTAGCTATCAGAACTTTCTGGAGCAGATTGGAGACTGGAAAAGAGATGTGACTTAAGTGGTTGTGCATGCAACCCCACTATGACTTTAACTTACCTTGTAGTGTATTACTTTCGTGATAAAAAATTCCTTCCCTATGATAGACAATGTACCTTCCTTGTATCTCTTGGCTGCAACACTCTAAATTTCTTATACTTCTAATATGGTACTTATTAAAAATTCCAGGTTGAGAAATATGTACTGAAAATCCCTACAATGCTTGTAAGCGAGAGGCACAATGAAACATAAAAATGTGAGTTAAACTAAAAAGGTCAAATCGAAAATCAGCTACTAAGCATACGTATCAATAGACCGTAGAACAGATACTTAATGATAAATCACATATTTTAAGTTGGGTAATGCTATTTTAGAGATCTTCTTTCAAACTTTTTAAATGATGTTTCATATGTTTACATCTTAACTATAATTGAACCCCGAGAAGATGGTTAACACCCAATTATTTCTTTCCTCTCTTTTTATTTATTTATTTATTTATTTATTTATTTATTTATTTATTTTTGTGAGACAGGATCTTGCTGTGTTGCCCAGTCTGAAGTGCAGTGGTACAGTCATGGCTCACTACAACCTCAAACTCCTGGGCTCAAGGAATTCTCCCACCTCAGCCTCCCGAGTAGCTGGGACCATAGTGCGCACTACCACACCTGGCTAATGTTTTTGTTTTGGGGTAAAATGAGCTCTCGCTTTGTTACCCAGGCTTGTCTCGAACTCCTGGTCTCAAGAAATTCTCCGGCCTTGTCCTCCCAAAGTGCTGAGATTATAGACATGTGCTACCGTGCCTGGTCTCAATTCTTTCTAAAAAGACCTCTATCGCAACTTTACCAAATGGCCCAAAGGAGTTCCCCATATTGTATGCTGTTCCATCCGGGTCGTAATGAGGATGTGCAGTTGCTCCATTCACAGCAATAAATTTGCTCCAATCTACCTGCAAATTTGAGACCATTGGAGATTTTTAATGCACAGATCTGTACTTACATACATAAATAGTAGAAATATCTAATGTTTTTAAAAATATGATATGAAAACTGCAATGTAAGCCCTAATTTCTTGCCTCTAAGAAATAAAAATTATTTTTCCCACTAAAAAAAAGAAATCAAGACTAAAAACAACAAACAAAAACCCATCACCACTACTAACAACAAAACCACCCTGAATAAATTTGCCTAATATCACAGGAAAATTCAAAAGAAGCATAAGAATTAAAATTAAAAACCTAGTCTAAAATTTTCTTTTTAATTAATATGTTACATGAAGGAAATATAGGTATAGACAACCTCCAGTCCAATATTAACCACAGCTAGGAAGAACAGCAACTAGCCAAAGTAGATCAGTACTATTCTATTTCTCCTTTACCCTAGCCTTCAGATGTTAGGACTAAGGAAGGAGTTTAGAATTATATTTAAGGAAAACCAACCCAGAGGCCATCAGACCAGAGGGTAAAGGTGACGTGCATCATGAATAACTTTGTTTTTGTGTAGTTAAGGCTCCAATTTCTTCTTGATATATACTACTCTAAAAAGTATTTCAAATGGAAAGAAATGTTAGGATCTATTTTATTCATTTTTTTTACCTGTACTTTACCTTTTCTGTCTTTTCCAGAGTTTCGATGTCCACTTTATTCATAAAGTTGGTCTCAGTGCAGAGGTAGTAATCACCCTTGTACCGCACATAGTTGACATTAGTGTTGTCAGTCATGGCTGAAACCAAACCCTAGAGTTATTTAAGTACCATGCTTACTGTAGCAAATGCTAAGCACACACTCAAAGGAAGAAAGCAATTTCAATATCCTCTCACATATACAAAAAAAAATCTATTTTCAAGATTTACGTTTGTATAAATGGTATGTATCATAATAGTTTAAATAATCATCACTCTCACCTGCAGCTTTACCAGGCAGCTCAAACCTGGACATGAAACGTTCAAAAACATTCTTGCATGGATCCGGGAGAGCCAGTGTGCCAAATTCTGACATCACAATTCGGTTTTTAGCACTGTTGGCCTTATATGTATCACTCTGTAGAAACTTGCTCCTGTATGTCACTGTGCCCTTTGCCATCCTGAACTGGTGAAGCAGTGCCATCCCATCAAACCAATGATTGTACCTTCAAACAGGAGAAAATAAATAAATAAATATTAGTAAGAAAACATGGGATAAAAATGAGGGAAAAAGTGATAGATCTTCATTTCAAATATAAAGATAAGGAAAAGGGACAGGTTCCCAGCACAACCTGATTAGTCAGAGAACTTGAAATTATGGGAGGATAGCATTTTGGGCATATCCTAGGTATAAAAGGAAAGAATAATTTACATTCTCCTGACCCTTACCCCTGTCAAAAAAAAAAAAAACCCTCACATTTTAGAAAACCCCTATTGTGGTGAATCCTAAGAAAATTCTAATCTTTACTCCATGGCTAAGATAATAGCATGAGAGGATATGGGATGCCTGACATTTACCTAATCAGAATGAGTTCCACGCCGGGCACAGTGGCTCACACCTGTAAGCCCAGCAATTTAGGAGGCTGAGGCAGGTTGCTTGAGACTAGCCTGGGCAACATAGCAAAATCCCATCTCATTAAAAATAAAAATAAAAAAAGAAAGAGTTTCTAAGCTTTTAGAAATAGTTATCTTCATATCTTATATGTATTAAAGTTTCCATTTACTCTAAAATTTTTCAACTTTATCAAGATTATGCTAAAATAGACAAATAAAATAACTGTCCTTCCTAATCATTTTTGTCCATATGATTACACCTTAGGAATGATCTACTTAAACAGTTAAACATTGAAAACTGTAAGGAAAAGTCTGTGGTTTCGCTTTTTAAATGGTTTATTATATGGTCTCTTCTTCTTTCATATGCTTAACACACTGAATGCTTAATACCTTCAGTATGGATAAACAAAGCTAACATCATTGTCTTAAAAGGCAATGGTTCCTGAAAGCAGAGACTGGAAGAGATATTTGTACACCCATGTTCACAGCAGCATCATTCACAATAGCCAAAGGGTGGAAGCAACTCAAGTGTCCATCAGTGGTTGAACCCTGTAAGGGTTCAGAGCATGCTACGCCAAAATATGCCACTTTGACATACCGATTATTTTGAGTTAAAAGGTACTTGCAAAACAGCCGATGCATGAAGGGCACTCTGACCTTCTTTATTCCTTCCTGAAAGCAGGAATAAAACTCCCATGTGAAAGATGCCCTCCCTGTACCAGAAGGAAGGAAGATATTTATATCACCAAAGGTAGGGAGTTGAGGCTGAGAAAATGAGAAAGATCTGTGCAAACGAATCCTGTTAAACTAACCTTTATCTTCATGGTCACTTTCACACAATTAACTGCCGTAGCCCAAACTCCTTTGTCTTGTCACATTTTCACCATTTACTACACTTTGTCCAACCTAGTACAAGCTTTCAGCCCTAACTTATTCTTTGGCTCTTCATTTTTCTTGGGGGAGGAGTGGTTCCAAGGTATATGTAAAACTTACTAAATAAAATTTGTATGCTTTTCTCTTGTTAATCTGTCCTATGTCCATTTAATTCTTGGGCTCAGCTGGAGACCCTAAGAGGTAAGAGGGAAAATTTTGTCTCTCCCAAAACATACACTGGAATATTACTTATCCTTTAAAATGAAGGAAATCCTGTCACATGTTACAACATGAAGGAACCATTGAGGACATTATGTGATATGAAATACACCAGTTGTAAAAAGACAAATACTGTATGATTCCACTTATATAAGGTATTTAAAGTAGTCAAGTTCATAAAAACAGAAGGTAGAATGGTGGTTAATAGGAGGAAGGAGGAAGGAGAAATAAAGAATTGCTGCTTAATGAATATAGAGTTTCAATTTCACAAAATGAAAACGTTCTAAAGATCTGTTTCATGACAAGATGAATATACTTAACACTACTTAACTGTAGTCTTAAAAATGGTTAGGATGGTAAATTTTATGCTATATGTATTTTACCAAAATTTTTTTAATTGCAGGAAAGAAAAAAGAAAAAGTCTTTAACCCAATGATTTGGGATGCCACTATTATCAGATAACTAAATGTCTGTAAATTCCTGGGTTTACTTCTGGTCTTTCTAATCTATATTGGTCCTTTCTTGCACCAATATCACAATGTTTTAATTGTAAAGGCTTTATGGTATATTTTAATATCTGGTAGGGCTAGTTGCTCCCTCTGAAAAAAAATTTTAGTGTTTTCTTGTCAATTCTTACATATTTATTGTGCTATATGAACTTTAGTATCAGTTGGTCCAACTTTCTTAAACAGCTTGTTGGAATTTTTATTAAGATTGTATTAGATTTATAAATTGACTCAGGGAGAACTGGGACATCTCTATGATGTTGAATCACTCTATTCAAAAACAGGGGATGGTCTTTCCATTTATTCGAATTTATCTTCCAGGAGTGTTTTAAAGTTTGCACATTTCTAAATTCATTGCGAAGTATTTAATCTTCTTTGTTGCAATTGTAAGTGAAGTTTCCCTACCATTATGTTCTCTGATTATTGTTTGCATATATGAAGCACATTATTTCAGTATGTTAATTTTATATCCTGTGACCTCACCTTTTATTGTTAAATTTAGTTTTCTCATTGATTCTCTATGGTTTTCCAGGATTAATATGGTTATTATATTAATATGATAAAATACTAATATTATATCATCTGCAAAAGAGATAATTTTACTTTACTAGTCCTTGTGCCTCTGGTCAATGTCTTTCATCTAATTGTATTGCTTACATCTGGTACAATGTTGAACAGTAGTGAAGATACTGATCATTCTTTCCTGTGTCTGGACTTGAAGAAAATACTCATATATTTTCCAGTGTAGTATTACTGCTTGTAGCACCAAGATATAATAGATAAGAGTAATTTAAGATATTTATAATATATATATTATATACATATACCAAGATATATATACATTAAGAAACACATACATATAAAATCATATTTAGAAACTATCCAACAAACCCTATTTTCTTTTTTTTTTGAGACAGAGTCTCACTCTGTAGCCCAGGTTGCAGTGCAGTGGCACAATCTTGCTCTTGCAACCTCCACCTCCCGGGTTGCAAGTGATTCTCCTGCCTCAGCCTCCTGAGTAGCTGGGATCACAAGCACGTGCCACCACACCCAGCTAATTTTTTGTATTTTTAGTAGATACGGGTTTTCACCATGTTAGCCAGGATGGTCCTGATCTCCTGACCTCGTGATCCGCCCACCTCGGCCTCCCAAATTGCAGGGATTACAGGTGTGAGCCACTGTGCCCAGCCAAAACCTATTTTCTTAAGCAATTTTTAGGAAGAGTGGATGTTTAATTTTCACAAAAGCTTTTTCAACGTCTATGGAGATAATTCTGTGATTATTTTTCCTGAAACTTATTAAAATGGTGTATTTGTATTGTATTAATGAATTCACTAATAACAAGCCTACCTTGTATTCTTGAAATTAATCCCACCTGCTCATAGTTAATTTTATTTTTTAATGTGGTATTGAATTCTGTTTCTTAACAAAATATTTATTAGCGCTATAATAGTATTATATATTTTGTACTTTTTTTAAGAGACAGGATCTTGTTCTGTGGCCCAGGCTGGAGTGCAGTGGCACTATCAGAGTTCACTGCATCCTCAATTCTGAGCTGAAGTGATCCTCCCTCCCCAGCCTCCCAAGAAAGCTGGGACTTACAGGGACATGCCACCACACTTGGCTACTTTTTAATTTTTTTGTAAAGATGGAGTCTCACTATGTTGCCCAGGCTAATCTCGAGCTCCAGGCCTCAAGAAATCCTCCTGCCTCAGCATCCTAAAGTGCTGGGATTACACGTGTGAGCCACAATATTTGGCCTATTTTGTACTTTATCATGGATATTCATAAATAATATTAGTCTGCAGTTTACTTTTTTCCATGATCTTTGTCATATTTAGATATTAACATGATGCTTCCTTTATAAAAACAACTGGGAAGTTTCCTTCATTTTTGATGCTCTGAAATAATTTATAAAGTACTGGGACTATCTCACATTTGAAGGTCTTGTAGAATTCATCTATGAAATAATCTGGGCCTGGTAATTTTTTTGAGAAATATTTCCTTAATAAGGGTCCTATTTCTTCTACAGAAACTGGTCTACTAAAAACTTCCCTCTCTAAGGCCGGGCGTGGTGGCTCATGCCTGTAATCCCAGCACTTTGGGAGGCCAAGGTGGGCGGATCATGAGGTCAGGAGATCAAGACCATCCTGGTTAACACGGTGAAACCCGTCTCTACTAAAAATACAAAAAAAATTTAACCAGTGTGGTGGCAGGCACCTGTAGTCCCAGCTACTCGGGAGGCTGACACAGGAGAACAGCATGAACCTGGGAGACGGAGCTTGCAGTGAGCCGAGATTGCACCACTGTACTCTGGCCTCGGTGACAGAGCGAGACTCCCTCTCAAAAATAAAAAATAAAATACAAATAATAAAAATAGAAAAATAAAAAACTTCCCTCTCTATCAATTTTGTTTAATTCTTTTTCTTTTTCTTTTTATAGAGACATGGTCTGGCTATGTTGCCCAGACTGGTCTCCAACTCCTTTCCTCAAGCAATCCTCCTGCCTCACCCTCCCAAAGTGCTAAGGTTATCCTGCCTTGACCTCCCAAAGTGCTGGGATTACAGGCATGAGCCACCACACCTGGCCTCCATCAATTTTGGTAATCTGCTTTCCCTATAGAATTATCCATTTTATCAAGGCTTTCAAATGTATTTGCATAAAGGCCTTCAAAGTCTCTTGTAATTAATTTTTTTCTGTTTCAATTATTTCTTCTCCATTGTCATTTCATACTTTGTCTATCCGTGCCTTTTCCCTTTTTCTTCTTGATCATGTTAACTAATGGTTTGTCTACTTTGGTAGTATTTTTCAAAAAAAGTTACAATAATTTCAAGAATTTTTGCTCCTTAATATATTTCAATTTGTTAGATTCTATCTCAAGAGATCCTGTCATTCCATCCATTCATTTATTCAAGTCAACATATGCTTGAGTCCCTACTATCTGCCAGGCATTGTGCCAAGGTCAGCACTTACAGGCAAATAAATAACGGATACAAAGTGATTGCTGCTACAAG